TAACACCGGTTGGACACCGATCGGCGTACTCGTCTGTTGTTTGGAACCTATAGGACGCATGCATAGACTAGCTGGGCTGGGAAGGGATGCAGCACATGTTGCAGATCCTAGGCAATATCGATCAAAGTAGCGGTCCGTGATCCCGATCGGTGTTAGGAGGACATGGGACGCATCTAGAAGATTTTTGTTCGCAAGGCACTTTGGCTCAAACACTGGTCGCGACATCCGACCGCTCTTACGACCCGATGCCAGAGTAAGCGAGACGAGGCACAAATTTCTTGACACCAGACAAATGCACCAGTCAGCGGCTTGACCCGGTATCGAGGCATCGGTCCGTGAGTGCTTTGTAAACTATCGCCGACTGTGTTCTTCATCCTTCGGTTTCTCTTTCATATACCACCGATTTTAGATTTGAAAGATGACCTGTAATCTTGAGAATGAGATCTTTCCAACAGTATGAAGATTGTCTCCTGGTTCCATGTGGTTCGTCTTGAGAAAAAGTTTGAAGTTGACTCCTTATAGCTTCGTATCTTTCTTCTACGGTCTTGGTAAATTGGTCATAACTTTCAAACTGTAATACAAAATTACGTTCCGATTTTTTTTGTAGCTTCATATGACTGTCTACTATTTACCCACAAAAGTTCAGAGTTTTCAGGGTTGATATAATGCTCCAGTTGGTCCTTGAACCATAACAGGTCTTGTTCTATCTCCTTCTCTCCTTTCTTCTCCTTTTTTTTTTGGTCACAAACACACTTCTTTATCGATTAAACAAATACATTATCTGTATCAGAAAACCAATAGAGAACTGAAGTGCCAATAAAAGAAAAGATAGTATTCCGCGTGCGCGCAATTCTTGCAAGCAAATCCGCTCTCGTATTATTCTCCCATTGCCGGTAGATGAGATCGAATCCTGGGAAATAATCCTTAAGGGCTGGCAAATCACGCAATTCTGGTTAAAAACCAGGCCAGCCGTGAGGAGATGTGACCATCTTCACTAACTCAGCGGAGTCCGTGCAAAACGTGGAGCAATACCGTCGTTTTCGGAGAAGACTCTTTATCACCCATATGAGGTTATGGAGTTCTGTATGTAGAGGTGATAGACTTCTGTGGTATCCTTGAAATCCGAGTAAATCCGTTGTGCCATCCTGAAGCTGTAAGACCCATCCGATCCCGCTGGTACCGTCATCAACTTTCCAGGACCCGTCAATCCAGCATGTGAAAGTAGTTAATATCCTAGGGGATCCTCGAGGGAGACTCCCTGCGCTTATACGATCTGCAGTATTAGCCTGTAACCACTCACGCGATTCCTTTGTAGCCATGGCCATAATATTCGACGGCAACCT